GTTGCCATCAGTTAGTTTTTGTATTCAAGGTAAAGGCTTAACTTTATTCATGAGGAATTTTTTTTAAATTAAAGTTTTCTGTGTCTAACATAGTGTTCCAGTAACAGATCATAACTATTGGTAAACTCATTAACTTATCCTTAACTTCTTTTTTACTTTTTTTTTTTTTTTTTTTAAGACAGAGTCTCACTCTGTAGCCCTGGGTAGAGTGCTGTGGCAACATAGCTCATAGTAATCTCAAACTCTTGGGCTCAAGCAATCCTCTTGCCTCAGCTTCCCAACTAGCTGGGACTACAGGCACCCACCACTATGCCCACCTGGCTAGTTTTTTTCTATTTTTAGCGGAGATGGGGTCTCGCTCTTGCTTAGGCTGGTCTTGAACTCCTGAGCTCAAGGAATCCACCCACCTCGGCCTCCCAGAGTGCTAGGATTACAGGTGTGAGCCACTGAGACTGGCCTTATCCTTAAATTCTAATAGAATTATTCTCAAACTCAATTTCTCTATATCATAAAGTCCTAAAATATAACTCTTGAAATTCCTTATGGCTTAAAAGATAGTTTATTAATACTATGGTAAGTAATACTTTCAGAAGTAGTACAATGCCATGAAACCAATCAATGATAGAATTTTTAAATCCACAAAGATCTCAGAAACAATGCTCTAATAATACCTTTCTATTAAAGACTTACTTGGAAGGCACAAGTTGGGAGGTGAAAAGTTTGCAAGTATACACATCTACCAAGTGATGTCTCAGTGTCCGGCACAAGGACACCTTGCACCCAGTGGGGGGCAGTGGAGAGAGGGATATGGCTCCAGTATCCATGCATCCCTGGTTTGTCAGGAAATGACAGGGACCTCTCTTACACCGTTAGGGAAAGAAGTAGGTTTCATAAAGTACTTGCTTTAAACGTTACGTGAAGAGACACCTATGGAAGTATATATAAGAAACTAAAAGCAACAGTTACCTCAAACCAGTGTGACAAGGCCCGGCACGGTGGCTCATGCCTATAACCCTAGCACTCTTGGAGGCCAAGGTGGGTGGATTGTCTGAGCTCAGGAGTTTGAGACCAGCCTCAGCAAGTGCATGACCCCATCCCTAATAAAGATAGAAAAAAAAACAACTAGCCAGGCATTGTGGCAGGTGCCTATAGTCCCAGCTACTCAGGAGGCTAAGGCAGGAGGATTGCTTGAGCCCAAGAATTTGAGGTTGCTGTGAGGTATGATGCTGAGGCACTCTACCCAAGGCAACAGAGTGAGACTCTGTATCAAAAAAAAGGGAAGGTGGCTTGGCGCCTGTGGCTCAAGTGGCTAAGGAGCCAGCCACATACACCTAAGGTGGCGGGTACGAGTCCAGCCCAGGACCACAAACTAACAATGACGGCTGCAACCAAAATACAGCCAGGCGTTGTGGCGGGCGCCTGTAGTCCCAGCTACTTGGGAGGCTGAGGCAGGAGACTCGCTTGAGCCCAGGAGTTGGAGGTTGCTATGAGCTGTGATGCCACACACTCTACCCAGGGGGACGGCTTGAGGCTCCGTCTCAAAAAAAAAAGGGAAGGTGGCAAAGTCTTAACTTTCATAACTATATATACCCTTTAATGCCTTTTGAATTTTGTAGGATGGACATGGATTACCTATTTGAAATGTTTTTAAAAGTTACTTGACTCTTAAATATACTATTATTATATCCACTATTTATTAAATATAGCCACTAAATCAGTGGTTCTCAACCTTCCTAATGCCACAACCCTTTAATACAGTTCCTGTGGGTCGTGACCCGCAGGTTGAGAACCGCTGCACTAAATATAGTGGCTGTTAACTGCTAAGAACACGGCAAAGCAACAAACAAGCAAATAGGATAAACCTGCGCCTGCCCTCAGGAAGCCTGAGCTAGTGAGTGAGACAGGCTGGCGAGCTAATTAGACACCCAGACTAGAAAGACAAGTGGGGAGAGCCTTGGGTGTCCAGAGAAGGGGACCTGACAAATACTTCCGCAACCAGAGGACGAGGAACGTTTTCCAGGACATTAGAACTTCTTGAGAGACTTGTCCAGCACTTAACAGCCTGAATGCTGGGAAACATTGGTCAGCTATGAATAGCTGTGTGCCCAAGATAAGGACAGCAGGCTGGCTGGGGACCCTGGTGCAATGCAGTAGGATACTGTCATTTTGTGTGCGCATTTTGTGTGGGGATCACATTGGTTTACCCCAGAGGGTTGGTCCAGGACCACTTGCTTAGACAGAAAGGATAGAAAGTCAGCCATATTGAAGAATAGCCAAGTACTCTGACAAAGAAGTATTGAGAAATGGGGAGAATCTCAAACAAGGATGGGAGTGGTTATCCAAAAGATGTTTCTAGAAAAAATCACAGTAAAGAGGGAGAAGAGGAGAGGTGAGAGGCTGGGTGGGCTTACTGTCACAACATTAAATGAGAAAAACAATTCCTGAGCCTAGTTAAGAGTGAGAATACAAAAATGGGAGGTAAAAAATCAATGAGTCTTCTTTTTTTTTTTTTTTTTTGAGACAGGAGCCTCAAGCTGTCCCCCTGGGTAGAGTTCTGTGGCATCTCAGCTCACAGCAACCTCCAACTCCTGGGCTCAAGTGAGTCTTCTGACTCTGCCTCCCAAGTAGCTGGGACCACAGGTGCCCGCCATAACGCCCGGCTATTTTTTGGTTGCAGCTGTCATTGTTGTTTGGCGGGTCCGGGCTGGATTCGAACCCTCCACCTTGGGTGTATGTGGCTGGCACCTTAGCCACTTGAGCCACAGGCGCTGAGCCAAAATCAATGAGTCTTAATGACCAAATGGATTTGGGCAATGAAGATGATCGTTACGGCGAATCAATGTAACAGGTCTAGCATTTGAGCTCAGGGCTATTTGATTCCAAGTCCAAACTCCAAAATCTAAACAATTCCACACCCCAGAAAATATAGCTTGAAAAAGACCCCCCCCACACACAGTTCTGTAAAAAATAGTACTAAGGTTGATCGTAGATAATGCTCATGGAGGCTGTCCTGTACTCGGCACTATTCCAACAGCTTTCCTTACGTTGTTTCATTTAATCATGAACACCCTTTCCAGATAGGCCCTATCATTACTCCTATTTCACAGACAGTGACACTAAAGCACAGAGAGGTAGAGCAATCTGCCATAGCGGTAAAGGCAGATAATTACACACCTGGAGTGTGAAGATACAGCTTCTATCTTCCCCATAAAATTTACTGTGAATGAAAATGAACAACCATAGGACTTTATGAAAGAATTATTATAAAATGGTAGGGTGTTTAAAGGATGATTGCTTTGAAATAAATGGTCACGTGCACATTTCATGACAGTGGTTTATAAAGCAGTGCCATTCTTTTTTTTTTTTTTTTTTTTTTTTTTTGAGGCAGAGTCTCACTATCTCAGCACTGCCCTTGGTAGAGTGCTATAGCATCACACAGCTCACAGCAACCTCACTCTTGGGCTTAGGCAATTCTCTTGCTTCAGTTTCCCGAGTAGCTGGGACTACAGGTGCTGCTACAATGCCTGGCTATTTTTTGGTTGCAGTTGTCGTGGTTGTTCAGCAGGCCCAGGCTGGGTTGGAACCTGCCAGCCTCAATGCATGTGGTTGGCGCCCCACTTAGAGAGCTACGGCACTGAACCTAAAGCAGTGCCATTCTAAGAGGGGCGCAGGACAATGGGGAACAGCACATGTGTTTATTCCACGTTCTTGTTGCATTTGAATTCTTGATCGTGCTAGACTACTCCCAGGTGTGGGCTTTCTATTTAAAGTCTGGAAAGAGGAATGGGCTGAAGTCTGAGATAGATAGGCTGTGGGGCAGTGATACTTCTATTCTACATATGTTTGATCAGTATTTTTCATTGTCCTTTACTTGGAGAACACAGCAACAGAAAAGAAAAATGCACCTTTGAAATCTATGCAGCAATACTTATTTTACTGTGGACATGCTAATTTGAATACTATGCCATCTATGAGAATGAAGTGAATTTTATTCTCCCAGTTTATTTCCTTTAGCTGGAATTATCTGGTTTTAATTTAGAAAAAAAGAGGGAGGTTAAAACAGAGGAGATAAAGTGACTATAACTCTATGCAATTGAACATATCATTATTTCAGAAACACAGCACCTCTTATTCAATACTGAGGAATAGTTCACTTAAATCATGTTACATTTTAAAGAAAAGTGAGCCTCAGGGTCATCTGCCTGAGTTGTAAGGTAACCTAGGCAGGCTGTGGAAATGAAAGGAAATAATAAATAATCTGAATGTTATTAGATAATGATCATTTGCAAGAATATAAGCACCAGATAGCTAACTTAGCAGATGATCTGCAGGTCAAGATTATTTTATCACAGTGCACCATCTTAGTAACCATTCATGCTACATACATGGTGCACAAAATTATTTCTTAAAAACGTCAAAACTCGCGCAAAGATGCTTCATTTGAGGCTGATGGCTGTGGGATGTGAACTAGCGAGTGTGGAATTCAGTGTGCACGATTCACAGGCTCCTGCCCTGGGGAGGTTCCCCACAGCATCTCAAAGCAGGACAGCCCCGTGCGGTCCCACTTTCTGCAAACTCCATTCAAGACGGCCCAGGCCCAGTGCTGAGCTCTGAGAGGCACAGAAAACATTCAGAGCATCTCAGGCTAAGACTTTCAATTTCTTGGAACAAAAAGCCGAGGCAAAGCTGCTCTTTCTGCACCCTGTGGGAAACCGGGGACTTGTGCACTTTCCACAACCTGACAGCCACTTGCAGAGTCAAAGAGTCAAAGAGTTCCACTTGCAGAGTCAAAGTCTTCCTTCCCAAGGCCAGCTCCTTTCTCTCCCTGATAACTATGCAAATTCCCTCTCGCGGAGCAGACGCCCAGCTATTCAAAAGCTGCGTGTCAGCTCCGGTCCAGTGCTTTCATCGTGAATGCTTGAATGCAGGAGGCAGTCGCGTCTCCGAGCAGCTCTCAACGCAAAACAATGCCCCGACACACAGTTTTCCCACGAGGGTACCTCGCATTCCGCCTACTACTTTTGACCTGTACTTTTCTTTTTATTAATGAAGCCTGTGCTAGTGGAAAGATGCCCATTGTCATGTGTTGCATACATTAAAATGTTTTCAACAAATATTTGTGACTGTCTAGCCCACAAGAGCCGCCCGAAGACTTAACTCTGTGGGTGGCGAGGGGACTGGGATTGTCACAACGAAAGGGAAAGGTCTCTCTTTCTCCCTCGGCGCGGCCAGAAACTTGGAAGTTCGCTCTCACTCTTTGCAAGGTCCGTGCCAAATGCTCCCTCCCCCGCGGTTCCCTCAGCCCAGGGTGGCCACAGTCGACCAGCGCGGGGGATGATTTGGCAGCTTCGGGGGCTGCACCAAGAGCGCGGTTTCGGAAGGCGCATCTGCGCCCCGGACAGCTAGCAAGGCGAGCTCTCCTCACCATGGACTTCCCATTAGCCCCATCAGGCAGCGAGTGGCCCCGAGGAGTCCGCCTTTTCCCGGCTGCGACGGTCGGGCTTGCACCGCAGGACAATGAGGGCGACTCCGTACAACTTCTTCCCATTCATTCCCCGCGCCCGGCCAGCAGCCCGGCCACTCCTGCCTGCCACAACCCGGCTGCTGAAAGCCGGAGACCACGGTGGTGTCGCCGTCTCCCCTTCTCGCACCCCCGACGTCCCACTCCAGTCACCCCCAACACTACTGCGCTCCTGGATCTCTACGTCCGGCAAAAGCCAGAGGGTGGGCAGCCCCTGGAGCCGGAGGAGGCTGAAGCCGAGGGCTCAGGAGAGCGCGCAGCGTCCGCACAGGGTGGCGACCCCACCCGAGCCCCCAGTGCTCGCGTGGGAGACCCACGTGTCCGACGCCCCCCGTCCGAGGGGAGCAGGGATGCGCGCTCAGCCTCCAGAAGCCCCGAAGAGCCGGGCTTTGTCCCGCAGCCGCCCCCGCCCGCCGGGAATCCGGCCGGGCCCAGGCTCACCCCTCTGCTGGCACCGCGCGCAGACCCAGAGCAGCGAGACCAGGAGAGCGGTCCCTGCGCAGCCGCCGCGCATCTCGCCGCCGCTCGGTGGACTCCGGGAAGAAAGCCGCGAGCTCGCTCCGCACGCTCGGCAGGGCGCAACGCTGCAGCTCCCTCGACCCGGCGTCGCCTGCTGCCCGCCAGCCCCTCGGACACACCCCCACCGACCTCGGCCGCGCCCAGCCCCTCCCCGCCCCCCGCCCGGCCGCCCAGACCCCTCCCCTCGGGAGGGCGCTCGGGCTCGGCCCGCGGGGACCCGCCGCTCCCCGGGCGGCGCTGGGGCGCATGGCCATCCCTGCATGCGGCTGGGACCCGGCACCGGCGGGCCCCATCTCGGGTGGCAGGGTGACCTGCCGGGTCTGAGTCAGGGTGGGCTGTGAAGGAGGAGAAAGTCCACCCACGTGGGCCCGGGAGCTGGATTCCGAGAAAGTATTTGCCCTGTTGACCCTGCCCGCCCCGCGGAGACCGTGCGGCCCGGGCCGGCCTGGGGACCGACGCGCCGCCGCCCAGACCTGGCCGCGAGCCGGCCCCTGGGGACCCGACCCAGGGCCCGCCTGACCGGCCCCCGTTCGGCATCAGGCAGAGGATTTTGTGAGGATTTCTTCTGAAAATGAGCTGTAACTTGTTCCCCACTTTGCCTAAGGAAGGCGAGAAGGGTCGCTGGACTTAATGATTATTAAGGTAGCCTTTCTGCTAGAGAGAGAAGACTCGTTCTTTCTTAGACTTAGTTTTAACACTAAATTTCAACTAGTTTTTAAAAACTATATCTAGTTATATTCTTTAAAGAATTTTTAATTTCCTCTGATTTTTTTCTTCAAAAAAATTCCTAAGACTCGGGCAGAGCTCACATTTCCCCAATATAAACATACAAAATTTTAAGTCTTAACCGTCCTACGCTCTGATTTTATCTCAGTTGTGTGAATCAATTTGACAACTCTACCAATTCCAGTCTTTCTAAAAACACTTCCTTACACATTTAATGAATAAAAGTAAATTATAGTACTTAACGATTTTTTTTTTAATCGTGGAAGTGTGGAACAGAACAATAGTTTGGCCCTTCATAAAGGGCGCAGTATAGTTCAGGGAGATGGTACTCTCTACAGTACTAAATTTAAAATACAGAAGTTGTTAATGATGAAAATATCCAACAACTAAGTATTTGTTAAATAAATGCTTAAGTAAATTAAGTACTTAAGTAATTAAGTATTAAAATATTAAGCATGTAGATATTAAAATACAGAATTATAGGGATTTCTGAACTGATATAGCTGTACAGCCATTTACACACTGGGTGTATATCACTTGGCATATATTTAAGTGCATTCATATAGATCAGCTCATGTGGTCACCACAGTTCTGTAAGACCAGAAGGGGCACTTGTCTGGTCCAGAGCTAGACCTCAGGTCTGATTTCTCCCACACCACTCTGAAATCATGGAGGATGGGACCATGGGAAAGGGTCTTCAGTGTTCCCCTATCCTGGATCCCTAGAGATTTAGGCTTCAGGTCAGACCTCATCTTTCAACTGCAGGCAGGAAACTCATGCTTGTGATTTCAAAGGAAGCAAGCAGTTGTGCATCCGCCCAAGTAGGGAGTAAGAAGGATCAAAAGTTGCAAATTGGCAGTTTATCAATGCTTAAAATCATGCAGAAAGATTTCAACAGAAGAATTGTAGAAGCTGGCTCGCTACCTGAAGCTCAAGCAGCTAAGGCACCAGCCACATACACCAGAGAGAACTGATGGGTTCGAATCCAGCCCAGGCCTGCCAAACAACAATGACAACCACAACCAAAAAAATAGCTGAGTGTTGTAGCAGGCACCTGTAGTCCCAGCTACATGGGAGGCTGAGGCAAGAGAATTGCTTAAGCCCAGGAGTTGGAGGTTGCTGTGAACTGTGATGCCACAGCACTCTACCCAGGGCGACAACTTGAAGCTCTGTCTCAAAAAAAAAAAAAAAAAAAAAGAATTGTAGAAGCTGATATAACCGAACATATTTGGATACAATAGAGCAGAAAAAAGTCACAATTCTTCATGTCTCATAAAGCCCTGTACATATGTTTCCGTTCTTTAGCACACTTGAGAAATATCCAGAACACCTAGAGTACCATGAAAGTACAGGGCTGGCTTATTCAAGGTGAAAATGGCTGTAAGTAGAATGTACATGTTTCGTGAACTCAAACTAGGCACAAACAGATGCTTGCTTCAAAGTCACCTATCAATAATGAACAATCAAAAATGCCAAGCCAAAATGAAATGATAATTTATAAATCAACATGACAAAGCTATGTAGCTATTTTAAAGTGTGAAACTTCGCAATTTGAAAAAAATTGACATGCTAAGTGAGAAAAGCAGAATTCTAAATAATATGAGTATTCTGGTTGCAAATGAGGAAGGAACTAGAGCACCACACAGAAGAATATAGTTGTGTTCAGGCGATCAGAAGGTGAGTGGGAGTATGGTTGTTACAGGTAGTGATGAAGTCTGCAGGCTGGGTTCCGAGATGGCTCCCATTTGTCCCCCACACTTACTAGCAGTGACATCTGTAAAATACAGATAATAATAGTGCCTACTTCATTCACTCAAGAAACATTTTTTGAGTTGTTGCTAAGTGCCAGATATACCATTAAATGAGAAAGACATACGGTGGTCCCTACTGGTATGGAACATTGAGCTTGGTAGTTAAGATAGAAAAAACGGGGGGAATAATCATAAACTGGATAAGTGCTATAAAGGAAACAAGTGTTTACTAAGATAGAGAAGGAGAGAACCAGGCATTGATTGAGGAGTCTGGGCAGGTCTTGCTAAAGTTTGTTGTTGAGCCCATGTGTGTAAGTCACCAGCACTCTGCCTAGAGCAAGTCGAGTGATCAGTACAGATGAATTCTTACACTTCTAATACTAATATATTTTTCCATTATAAAAAACCAAGCTCGATTATGACCATCGTCAAAACCAGCCTCAGACAGAGTGGGATGGGTTGGATCAGACCTTTTCAAAACCACTTGGGGAATCTTGGCAACTTACAGATTCTAATTCAGTAGATGTGGAGGCCCGAGCTTCTAAATTTCTCACGAGCTTCCAGCTGATGCTAATGCTGCTAGTGGGCAGAGCACACAGTGAGCAGCGGGTCACTTGCCAGCTTGTCCTCTATCTGGCCTGCAAATTTAAATCAATAGAGGAATTATTAAAAATAGTGATAATGTTCTAAAAGTAGAATATAAATGTCTTAACACAATAACTAAGAAAATGACATAAAGCTATGTTAACCAGTTTGATGAAAATATTTCAAATTGTACATGAAAACACCACACTGTATCCATGATTGCATTAATGTACACAGCTATCATTTAATTTAAAAAATAGTGATAATGGTTTCACTCCTCAGAGACTGTGATTCTATTAGGATAAGGTACACCTTGGTCATCCAGATCTTTTTAAAGCTCTGCAGGAAATTCTGATGTGCAGCAAAGTTTTGGAAATACAGCTCAAGTGACCTACTCCTGCATGTGGGCAGTCCAGCCTGCGGTCCTTGGAAGCTGAGCAGGCTGGGAAGCCAGCTTCAGAGGAGTATGGTCACAGGTGGCCAGAGGGAGCCCAGCCTGGCAAGTGTTTTTCCTCATATCCTGACATGAGCTTATTAGGATCCAGCCATTATGGCCAGGATGTGGGCCAAGATTCTGCTTCTCTGGGGGAGTTGGTGCAAGCAAGGCTGTGTCTTAGTTCTCAAGGAACTGAGATAGTAGGTTGGGACCCTGGCACAGGAGCATCACTCCAGTCAGCAGCTAGGCCCCAGGCCTGGAGTATGAAGCTGGGGGTTTGGTCGCAAGGAAAAAGGTGAGAAGTCAATTGGTAAAACTGGTTACAGTGTCAGAGTCTGATTTGGGTCAAAGCTGCAGAGGCTGAGCTTAAAAGTTCCTTATGGTCTCATGGCTAGAAATAAGATGGTTGAGAGAATAAGTCTCCAGCAGGGGTGAGGGACTTGCAGACAAAGAAGGCAAATTAAGGGTG